TGAACCTAAGGGCTAGCCTGAACCCACAGAGCTGCCCTTTGCAACATGCACAGGTTGCCCTTTCCTTGAATGAACACTATTACAAATATCTCGTAGAAAACAAACCTACATATTCTGTTCTCTTGGTAAAATGTAAGGATACCAGTGAAATTCTTCCCAGCAAATTCAATAACAGCTGCAAGATCTGCAGAGATAAGTTAGCTGAGACTCTGGTCACTAGTTATCAGTTCTTGTTCCCCACTAAACTATCAAAAACATGTGAGAACCATCACTGCCAGCTCATAAGGAGATCTAGATTTGTAGTGAGAGCTACTTGATAAGCAGTCTGACTCACTAGCTGCTGTGAACTGAAGAATGGTTCAAGCCCTGCTACTGTGATTAGAGCAGGGAAGGCTGCCACCTGAACCAGCCCCCACACACACTAAATAAACAACAAATAAAGGAAATTTTCAACTTCATCTCTTGGCCTGCCAAATCTTCTCTTACAGAGTCTGTCTGAAACAAGCTGTAACTCGATAATACACCATTTGAACACAAGTAATGGGATCTCAAGTGTGACTGTTTCCTGAGCACTTGGCATCCAGCAGCCCAACAAAGCCTCCATCAGGTAGTCTTGGAAATAATTTCCTCCTAAGGTATTACTTCAGACTGTTTTCTCATCTAGTTCAGTCCACGTCCTATAGGATGGCACAGCTAGCTATTGCTGCTTCTTCAAGGCAGTATTATTCTCCTGAGCAGCAAAAAATATCTGTCCAGAGCTATTCTCTTTTGGCATGCCAATAATTATGATGAGAGATGTTGGCTGGCCACAGAGACTAAAGCAGAAATTGCTCTTACCAGTTTCAGTAGGACGGAAGAACCCTTGCAGAATATGACGGTCTGGAAAATGTACTCTCAACACCACCTAGTCAGAAGCAAAGCACATTAGGTCAGCTGTGTGCAGCTGTTCTGTAAGGCTTGCCCTTGGTTTAGAATTTCAGTAAGTTTCTTATAAATGGGAAGATTTGAGCAGTTCTGCCTTACAAGCTGCAGTTTTGGGTAACTGCAGCTCCTCAGAGAACATGGACTGTCTGAATTCCAAAGACTGTAAGAGAGCTGGCCTACAAAAGCAGTATCACGTTGCACATGTACAATGCAGCAGAACTTAGCTCCCTGTGCTAAGTGACACTCAGGTGAAGTAAAAAGTCACCCTATGTTCCACACCTGGCAAAGTACAGATACAAATCAGCATCTTGGAGTATCCACAGCAGCAGGAAGCCTCCCAATCACACAGTCCCTACGCCATATATATGCTGAAATAGTATCATTCTATTTCCAGTGGCGGACAGTTAGCACCTAACTTGGAAACTTCACCTTTGTAGTAAAACATCAGAGACAAGAACTACGTCAGGATCATATTTACGGAGTAAGATTTCTCCAGTCTGTAATATCTTATCATTTAACATGTAATGAGATACTATTGAAATTAAGAATCCATAGAGGAGAAGTAGAGAAGAATGCTCAATCATACAGACTGATGTGTGCATAACAAAAGGGGTTTGAATCATCTGGAAGGAAATAAAAGGAGCAGTTCCACTGTTGCCCAACCACATCCTTACAGGCCAGCTGATTTTACATAGTGTAACTATTATGTGGGTCCTACTAACATGAAAAGCCTTCTTTTAAGCAGTTCAAGATCCTGTCGGTTACGTTTGGTTCCCAACACTTATTAAGTTGCAATTTTGGACTAGACCGAGAGATTGGAGAAAAAGAAAAGGCTACCTTCGGGTAACGTTCCAACTTTTCCTTCAGCTGAGCCTCCCTCAAAGATCTTGTCATCAGTGGGGCTTCTTCCAGGTGCTTCCTAGATAAATGGGAAGAAGACAAGCTGTCACTACTGCCACTCTAGGATATACTTTTATTGAAAAAAATGAAAGGCTCAAGCAGGAGAGAGAATGGCTCAACAGTCCCATATATCCTTCACTGCGTATTCCCCTACTCTGCTTCCAACCCAGAATCTCAGAACTGCCATTGCTGTCCTCTCAGGTCATGTTCTGCTTTAATGGCTAAGAATTGCAACCCCCACTCTGTATACAGTGTATGCACACACATGCATGCAATTACCTGCAAGTTCAAACTCATGTTCTTTCCAACACCTTCCTTGCCCCCAAATCCCACTCCCCCTCTGCAGCTTCCCCAGCTGGGCACCAGCACAATATACTCAAATTCTCTAAAGTATGCAGACTTTAGAACAAGCCATATTTTCAAAGAAAAGGAAAACAGACAATAGATAAAACGCAATCGAAGAGATCCCACTAATCTGGTACGTTTCTTCATTAGGCAATTCATTTTATAGGCAAATATAAAACAGAAGCTCTAATCTATGCAAAATAAGAAAAAAAATATCCACATAGAAAATAATCCATTTAGCTACAGAAGATAAGGCATGTTTACAGGTTTTTAAGGCAAGGAAGAAAAACAATAAAGTGAAGAAAAAGCAACTTTGCTAAAGGACAGCCATGAGCCATGAGAACTAGGCTGCAAGCAAGACTTCTTTAACATCCTTGTTGGGATCAATCTTCAGAAAAAGTTGTAGGAAAACTTACTGTATTCTAACAAATAATGAACTTTGCTTATGATAAAAATTTAAGAGGCACTTATGTAATTGGAAAGTGAATAATTCTGTAAATTGAAGTAACAAAACAGCTTAGAACATATACTTGGGGGTAAAGTTATGCATTTAAGTACACACCGAATTTCTGCTAAAAGGTAGAAGCTCATGAATTAGAAACCTGAGAAAAATCTAAGCACAGAGCTGATCATAAGAAGCCTTATGAAATGCAAACATGATAGGATATTAGAAAGAAGTATTAACAATCCAGGCTATACGAAGCAAAATATTTTATACAGATAAAGAATACTGGAGTGTAAATGGATTTAGTAAGCATCACCTACAACACCGTACAAAATTATTTTCTACCCTGTACATTTAATGAAGTAGATGTTAAGATTGCTATTAAGATGATCTGGGAACGTTTTCTGAGATTACATGCAAAAATTGGATTTATTAACCCAATAAAACAGGCTGAAGTGACAGTTACTGCACGGAGGGAACAGAGTTACTGAAGCTGAAAAACAATGTTGGCATAAGAACTAATGGGTATTAATTAGCACAAAGGAAACAAAACAGGAACGAGATATTTCAGACAATAAATGAAGCAAAGCTGTGGATTGGTCTTTTAAAATGAGTAGCAGGCACAAAAAGAAAACTAATCATATTAAAGATGACACAGTAAATTCAGATTTTTTATTCTGTAAGCTTAGATCTAGCAGATACCTTTCAATTCCATGTTCAGTGTCAGTCCTTTTCCCTTATTTCAGCATCCTAAATAATTCTTAATTCTGAATAAACTATTTATGAGGCTAGATTTTGGTGAAACATCTGCTCAAAGAATTATAATTTTGAACTATTACATGGTAATCTTCCTGTGTCTATGCAGTTTGAACCTCTTTCTATTGTTGAGGCTCATCAAGGTATCTCAGGAACAGGTGCTGAACAAAACTGCAAGCTGTTTTCACCAAGAGTACCCAGAACACTCAGCTGGCACAGATCACCAAAATGATCAAAAGTGCCAATTAAAATTTTGAAAAGCAAGTAGCAAACTAACCTGTTCAGTTCCTTCTGTGTGTATCAAGTTTATGTTTCATATTGATTCTCTGCTCTTCATGAAACTGGAACTGAATTCTAACCACATTTAAAATATCGCATTGTGTGCAGCTAGTTCTTGGTAAGATTCACCAGCCGAGATCAGCAGCCAACTGATACCAACGTCTTGTGGAACTTGCCTTTATTTTTATTCCTGACCATGGGAGGAAAAAGGGCTACAGGCATCAGCAGATTTGGAAATGAGGTCCTTTTTGAGGGGGGTATTTTCCAGTAACCCCCGACCAAATGACCATACGTTTGTACCACTAACTACTGCAGACCCACAAGCGGCAGAGCAATTTTCAAGCCAATCTGTGTATGTGGATTTCGGAGGCACGGGGGGAGGAGGTGGCGTAAGTCAACTCTAAGTAGAAAGTTCTATTCAGACATAGCTATAGTATAATACTGTCCCACTGTTTCATAGAATCCTTGTAATGTTTGAAGGAATATTACCACCCACTTGAAACTGAGTATGTTCACAAAATTAATTTATTAAGGAACATACAGAAGGTAAAATGCTGTTGTAATGGAGAGGTTATCTTAACCTGAGTTTCTAGTTCAGAACAGAAAAAAAAAAAAAGTATAATAAAATCATGTGCATCTGGCAGCAAGCTACTTGAACAACAGAATATGCATAAATATGCAGTTAGCCCAGCTTCCTTTACCTTTTTCTCCCCTTTGGGAGCATCCCAAACATTCTTATATCTTGATTTGTGATTAAGTTTGATTTTGCATTACTTCTGTTTGGATAATGTCTCAAAATTGGTATTTTATGATTAGGTCATATAAAAGGTAACTCCAATACTTAAAACACAAGACTCTTCTTACTGGATAAAAATGCTACTAGCTGCTACTGAAGTCAATAGCAATTATTCCTCTGCAATTGGATTGTTGTGTTCATGTACTTGTTCATCACATGTTACAAAATCTAGCCATTTAACTTCTAACAATCAGCTTCAGATGAAAATGCAAAGAGCAGGAGTTCAACACGGCTTTGGGTCTCTAGCAAATAAGGACACATTACTTATAAAGTTAGTGGCTTCTCTTTCAGAGGAGGGGAGAAAGAAAGAAAGACCCAGGATATTAAGTGTCTAGGAATAACTCCCTGAAATGCAGAAGATGGGCAGGAATCTCTCTTTTATTCTTTTCTTAGTGTGGGTCCAACTAGTTTGAGCTTCTCAGAAAAACTTATCACCACACAATCACTGTAAATACTTTATGATGAAACTTTCAGCATCCAAGTGACCCCATTATCCCAGGACACAAATAGTCAACTGATTCACACAAAAACACAGGTCTTTGCACAGAATCACGACCTGGCCCTTGTGCTCAGTTGGCATTAAACCTAGGTCTGGTCATTAATCCTACATCATTAATTCATCTTCAACCCTTACCTCAGAAATCAGAGCCATCTATAGGAGGATAGCACAACCCTCCTCAACAAAAAGACATGGAGCATTCTGTGTTATTACCAGAAAGAAAACTTGCCTCTCGCTCTGCAGCTGTGCCAAACGTTTCCGTACATCATCCACTGTGACTTCATAAAAATCATCAGGAAGGTCTTCTGAGACAGCAGGAAGAGGTTCTAGTAGGTCTAGATGATATACAAGTGGTTCTCGTTTTAATAGCTACAGAATAAAAGCAAGCTCAGGTTAGTATTAAATACATTCTTTTGTTAGTGCTAGAAGGTTCTGGACAAAAAGCAGCAGCACAGTATTTGCAAACTCAAATGCAATCACATGGAATGGAATTAACGTCACTTAGGACAGACAGAGACTGTTTACGTTGTCCATGTTGAAACTGGTCACCCTTTATAGTTGGTGGACCTCCTTCCCAAAAGCAGTAGAAGACTATGTTCTATCAGATGTGTCACGCAGCTAATGGAGTTAGCTACTCCAAGATGTCTATACAGGAAGCAAAGAAGGAAAGAAAGCAAACATTACCTCTATCTTCAGGAAGGGCAAGGAGGAGGGCCTAGGGAACTACAGGCCAGTCAACCTCACCTCAATCTCTAAGAAAGCGATGGAGCAGCTAATCCTGGAAACCATTTCTAGACACCAAGGCCAAGAAGGTGATCAGTAGTAGTCAACAAAGGGGAAATCACATTTAATCAACCTGATGGCCTTCTAAAGTGAGATGACTCACTCAGCGGATGAGGGGAGACTATTTATCTCAATTTTTGTAAGGGTTTTGACGTCACCTCCCAAAACATCCTCACGGGCAAGCTGATAAAGTTAGATAAATGGCTAGAGTGAGGTAGACTGAAAACTGGCTTACCGCTAAGTTCAGAAGTTTGTAACCCGTGGTGTGAAGTCCACCTGGAGGTCAGTCACTAGTGGAATCCCCTAATGGTTGATATCATGTCCAATACTGTTCGATCTCTTCATTAATGATCCAGGTGATGAGACTGAATGCACCCTCAGTGAGTTTGCAGATGATAGCAAAAAAAGAGTGACTAATATACCAGATAGGGTTGCTGCCATTCAGAGGGACCTCAGCAGGCTGGAGAAATGGACAGAAAGGAACCTCAAGAAGTCCAACAAAGTGCCTCCCTGGGCTTGGGGATGCACCACTACAGGATGGAGGGTCAACCATCTGGAAAACAGCTTTACAGGAGAAGACCTGGTGGACAACAAGCGGGCAAAGGCAGCTGAGGGTATCTTGGGCTACATGAAGGAAGGGTGCTGCCAAGTGGTGAGAGGTGTGATCCTTCCCTTCCCTCTCTACTCAGCACTGGTGAGGCCAGTACCCAATTCCAGCCTACCCACCACCTGACAGACATTGATCTTCTGAATTGAGTTCAGCAGAGGGCCACAAAGATGATTAAGAAACTGGACCATTTTTCATATGAGGAGGCTGAGAGCTGGGACTGTTCAGCCCGGAGAAGAGAAGGCTCAGAGGGAATCTTATCAATACTTATAAATATCTGATGAGAGGATGTAAAGCAAACTGAATTAGCCTCTCCTCAGTGGTACCCAGTGACAGAATAAGAAGCAACAGACACAAATTGAAACACCAGAAATTCTGTCTAAACAAAGAAAACCAACAATGACAGAAAAAAGTCACTTCATTGTGAAGGTGGTTGAATGGATCAAGTTGCCCAGAGAGGTTGTAAAATCTCCATCCCTGGATATATTCAAAATCTGACTGGATATTGTCCTGGGCAATCTGCTGAGTCTGCTTTGAAGGAAAAGGTTGGACCAAATGTTATCAAGAGGTCAAGGTTTCCAACCTCAACTGTTCTGTGATTCAAAACAGGCAGCTGCTAGAAGTTCCCTCTACACATTAGCTGAAATAAAGGTACTTATTACATTTACTGTCATTACCTATTTCTTCTCCCCTCATTCCTTCATATACCCCTTCCAATCCAAAAGAAGGATGGAATGTCTGAAGGTTCTTCTCTCTCCTTTCCATCCATTCTCCTCCCTTCCCCCAGGCACAGGCCCCTCCCAAACAGGAGTCTCCCTCAATTGTCAAAAGAGACAACACAAATTACAAGGCAACATTCACTCTATTTGTGGGCACTAAAGGGTAATTTGAGAAATTAAAAGAGCGAGGTTGTGTGGGTGGGACCCTCGGCTACTTTTAGAAAGTTGAGTGGAATCAGCTCTAACTAGAGGGTGAAGGAGCCTGATTGCAGCTTTCCCTGGGCTCAGGGGGGAGGCATGCCCAGAGCGGTGTAACTCCCTGAGCTGCGTGTGTAAAGAAGTGATCCTGAGCATGCAGAGCCACCCTCTGGGAAAGAGCCTGTTGCACAACAGTCCTGGCTGCTGCAAGCAGCGCAGGGCAGCCAACCCTCCCCAACCATGCAGCCTTGAGTTCCATTCACTCTCAACACACCTTTCTTGAATGCTAAGCTAATGAAGAGATTTCTTCTTCCAGAGGAAGAGACTGAGCAGACATGACTTGCAGGGTATTGCAAAAGGTGGAGAGAATTTCATTGTCTGCATTAGCAAATCCTAAATTTATCATTTAATAACTGGCTCCAGCAAGCACTTCAGCAAAACGTAGCAGTAGCAAGATTCCAGAGGAAAACAGGCAGTCACCGGCCAAATCAGGGTCCCGGCTAAAGAAATCACAAGATACTGGACAGCAGCCACGCGCCCCAGTCCTAGTGTTCACCTCTCCTCCCGCTCTCTGTTGACTGTCTGGGCTTTTGTGCATTGGAACAAGTGTCGCTTTCCAAATGTCTCCATTCAGACAAATGGGTTCTTGCTGAAGACCATCAGGAACTTCCCCCGCTAAAGCGATTCTCCAGCCTATCAGGAGCTGTGGAACAAAACCTTTCGTATTCCAGAGAGGAATGCCTGCTCTGGACACCCGTCTTGCATCCAGCTAAGACATTTCTGCTGAATTGAGGCACCCCTGCGCTGCCTGGCACAGGCACACAGTA